GAGGTGGGTGGAACATCATGGAAGAGTCTGGGGGCAAGCTGCCAAGGCCTCGCTGGGCGAGAAGAATGCACCAGGGCAGCATTTTCAGGCTGGCAAGCTGGAGGAGGACCCCTTGGAGCCTGTGGTGGGTCATCGACCCTCGGGGGTCTTGGGAGAGGCACAAGTAGCGGCTAAGAAGAGGAAGACTCAGAAAACGCCCTGCAGGGGCATCTGAGAGCCAAGGCCATAGGTGAAGACGCAGGGTGGGCAAGGCCAGTGGCTCACCTGGGCCCCCCTGCATGTGCATACCTCCGGCCCACCTCCACTCAAGGGGACGGCGAGGGCAAGGGAAGAAGAAGCCGGAGGTGATGCAGCCTGTGTGCTAGAAGTCCGAGTCAGGTGGCCTGGATTTCCCTCCCTGCCCGCTCATCACAACATTATCAGCATCTTCCTCTCCCTCAGGGCCTCTTCTGGGCTAACTTGCCTGTGCATCATCATCTGTATTATCCCCATTTTACAAACGAGACTCAGAGGTTAAGGAACTTTCCTAGGGTCACACGGTTCAAAAGGAGCGAAGTCAGCATTCGAGGCCAGCTTCTTAACCACAGTGGGCTTCCGTCTTGGGCTACCTTTGTGACTTTGAGTGAGCCTCCCCCGGGGCTCATTTTCCGCCTGTAGAATGATCGAGCTGGAATCAAGGAGCCCCCTCGGGCTCCTGTGGCTCTTGGTGGGGCCCAGAATTGCTTTTCTAGGAGAGGGGCTCAAGAGTCTGATGGAGGGGCCGGGGACTCGTCTCCGCCCTGTGTTCTCCACCAGCTTGGGAGAAGTGGTTAGGGGCGCAGATTCTGTTGGTCTACTTCCTCTGCGGAGGATGGATGGATGGATGGATGGATGACATAGGTTGGATGACTCAATGCGGGTAATGTGTCCTATAGAGTGCCTGGCACACAGTAGGTGCTCAATATGTGTAGCTCTTGTTTTGTCAGAGTGAAGGCTGTCTCTTCACGGACTATTCATTCACTCATTCAGCAAATATTCATTCACACCTCCTGCGTGCCAGACGCTATTCTTTTTTTTTTTTTTTTTTTTTTAACGTTTTATTTTATTTTTGAAAGAGACAGAGCGTGAGCCGGGGAGGGGCAGAGAGCGAGGGAGACACAGAATCGGAAGCAAGCTCCAGGCTCTGAACTGTCAGCGTAGAGCCTGATGCGGGGCTTGAACTCACAAACTATCAGATCATGACCTGAGCTGAAGTCGGCCGCTTAACCGACTGAGCCACCCAGGCGCCCCACCAGAGACACTATTCTTGATACTGGTGACCAGTGGTGTCCCCAAAATAGCAATAATGCCCTGCCTTCATGTAGCTTTTATTCTAGAAGGAGACTCAGACCAAAAAAAAAAAAAAAAAAAAAAAAAATTCAAGTATCATGTAGAATACGTTATAGAGAGATATGTTATATAGAGAATATGTTAGAGAGAGAAATGATACATAGAGCATATATTATAGAGAGATAAGTGCCAGGAAAAAAATGAAGCAGAGAAAGGGGGAAGCAGTGCCCTAGTGGGGTCAGGATCTTCAGTTAGGAGGACTGGAAGATCTCTCTGTGAAGGGGGTGAAAGCCAAGACCTCAGGGAGGTCAGGGAATGAGCCATGTGGGTGTCTGAGGGAAAAGCATCCCAGGCAGCAGGAACAGCCAGGGCTAAGGCCTCAGCACAGATTGCATAGGGCCATTTGAAGGACCTTCCCTGATGGTTTAGTAAACCCCAGGGTGCCCACAGTCAAGACTCAGATTACAGATCCCTTTGGTAAGACTGAAAACTTCCCCCCCATCTCTGGTTTCTTCTGCAATATTGTTTTGTGGTCTGGCAGTTCCAGGGCATTCCTTGAGATCCCCAGCCCGGTGCTCCAGGGTGCCAAGGAAACAGTAGGGTCAGATTGGGAGAGTGTTGGGGAGTCTCTCCTCCTGACCCCAGTGCAGAGCAGCCAGACTCCAGGGTGGGGCCCATGTGAGCTGGGACCTATTGTTCAAGGTTGATTGCATCTTCTGGGTGAGTGAGTGGGTGTGCAGGGAGCGGACTGGGGTGAACTCAAGCAGGCCACACCTTGGGTGTTTCGTCCCAGGAGGAATCGTGGAGAACCTAGTATGAAGACAGAAGTCAGGCCCAGAGGCTGCTAGAACTCCGTGAGCTTTCTCCCCCGCTTGGAACTGCCTCCATTCCTCCACTCAGTTTTGTGTCACATCTCAGTTTCTCCTTAGAGCTGAGCTGCAAAGCTCTTTAGAAGGACCCTGGGGGGCTAGTCTTCTAGGAGTTTAGAAAAGAAGAGAACTGGGGCCCACACATAGGTAATCAGAGTCTGGGTGTGGGCGGTGGGTGGAGACAGCAGGAGAAAGCCTTGGATCAGGCCTTAGGGGACAAGTAGATCTTAAGACTGGGTGGCCCAGGAAACTGACCAGGATCCTTCCATGGGGGGTGGGGGTGTGACAAGATTGGACAGGGAAACTGGGACTTTGTGGTTAATGCGTGCCCTTAGGCAAGCACTGTTAAGAGCCTCAGATGCGGGCTCTGTGCTCTGTGCTGTGTAAACTCAGGGAAAGAATAGAGTAGGATTTAATCTGTTGTTGTCTGAGAGGTTAACCACCTCCCCCAGGGCCAGGTGCTTCGTGGATGCTAAAGCCGGACCAGTCCCTTCCTGGAGAGGAAGGCCATAATTGGGAAGCAGAGCCCAGGTCGGAGGGGTGGGCGGTGACACAGGGGTGCATTCCACCCTTGCTCAGTACTTCCAAGGGCCCTCTGCCTGGGGCCCCAGGCCTGGGCACCTTGTGTCACTTTAGGAGAACATGCAGCCCCATGGAGGGCTGGCATCCTTGGACACTGGAAACAGAGCCTCTGGATTCAGGGTTGGCGAGATTGAGATGAGAACAGATGACAAAGGGCATTGGTATGTATCACAGGGTGGTGGCTGGCCTCTAGGACAGGGTCACACTTGGGGACTTCTAGGGGATGAAGGAAATCATAAAAATGGATACAACAGACTCACGTGAGGAAACGAGATGGGGGGCTGCTGCCTCGGCCAGCTGAGTGTGGTCACAGCCCGGTGTGAGTTTGGACCCAGAGTTGCCCGTTTTCCCAGGGCTTCAAGAGAAATAGGGAATATGGATCTGTAACATGAAATCGGCCTATTGACAATACTGGTTATCAATGAACAAAACAGTATAAATAACAAAGAAACACCGTGCAAGTCCAGCAAAGCCCACCACCTTCCCTGGTGACCCCCTGCTCTGGCAAAGGGTGCGTTGAGGTCAGGTCCCCAGCTGACTGCTGATCTCCCCTGGGAGAAGGTTTGTTGTCACTTTCCTGCTCTTGGAAATGACCTCATGATAGACTCAGTCTTCCAGGGACATCTGGAGAACAGAGCTATCTCTTTGGCTGTGCTGTGTGGTCCTGAGCAAACCCCTCCCCTCTCTGGGTCCCATTTCCTGCTGTGTGATAGAGAAGAACCTGGTCTGCCGGGCTCCCACCAGTTTGGACAGTGTGTGACTAAGTCCCTCAGGCTTGAGGGAAGATGCAGTTATTATAGAAGTGACTCTTCCCGGGAACCATGCTTCCGGGATTGGATACAGTGCACTCTGGCATTTTGTATGTCCGCAATCACAGTTGTGCCTGTGAATGGATGTGTGTCATAATTTGGAGCTGTGCATGGCGCAGTGTCAATATCGTCTTAATAACTTTGCCCTAGAACCTTTCATTGGCTACCCTGGAAGCTCGTGAGAAGCCTTAATTAATTCTCCCAGTGACCCGGGGAGCAGGGTCTTCTTCCTGATTTGCAGATATGGAACCCCAAGCCCAGAGTTGGGAGGTGCCTTAGCTCACCTTGCACCACTGGCGCCCCTGACTCAAGTGTTAGTTCCGTGGCAGTGTGTGGGGTTCCTCATGAAACCAGTGAGACCAGGATTAGGGTTTGGGGGTCTGTTTTGTACCCATCACAGTTTGAGCTGCTGGAAAAGCAGGGAGGGAGACGGAAAAGGTCTTTGCCTTTGATCTTTCCATGGGTGGTGGTGGTGGTGGTGAGGATAGCTGAGCCCTGGCTACCTCCCTGGGTCTTTTGTCAACATCCCTATCTCTTGCTGTCCTGCCAAATCATTGACCCCTGAATTAACCCGGACTGTGTCCTCTGCAGTCCTCAGAGCCCCCGAAACATTCTCCTCTGGTTTGAGAGGAGAGAGAACCGAGCAGGTGGAAGAGGAGGCTCTGGGTCTAGAAAACCCCAGCTTTTCGTGCGCCCGCCTCCTCCCCACCCCCACCCAGCGTTTTCCACCTGTGCCCCAGACTGGAGCAGGGTGTCGGTGTCTGTGTGTTCCCCGGCCCCACACGTAAGACCGCCTTCCCGCAACGCGCTACTCGCCAGGCTGGGGGACTGTGTTTCCCTGCCGCGCCCCCCCTCCCCCCACCAGAGTCCCCGGGAGCCGAGGGCGCGGGCCCTTTAAATCCTCCGGGGCGGCGGCGGCGGGCCGGGGATGACATCAGCGGTCGGGCCCGGGGCTCAATGGGAGCCGGCGGGCGCGCGCCGGGCGGGAGCGCGCGAGCCGGCGGCGGGGGCGGGCGGGCAG